AAAAAAAAAAAAAAAGAAAGCAAAGGCTGAGGGAGGGGCACTCACCCACAGGAGCAACTCCCCAGAAAACAGACACAACCGGCCCCAACACACCCATCACCCTCCTGCACACAAGGCCTTCTCAATCTGGGTGGTTTTTTTTTTTTATTTTAAACTGCATCTACAAAGATTTTTACAGTTGGGTTTCAAATTCCCTCAGTTAGCAGTTATAGGTTTTGATCTGTTCCTAATTATGGAAAAGAATCCTGGGATTGGTTCAGAGTGAAGGAACTTGAGTTTAACGTTACCATTTTTAAAGCACCAAGGTTTACATGAATTCTGAGTAGAGAACTAGATTTCCTCAGTTATTTTGCTTTAAAAAATGAGAGTCAGAGACAAAAAGGCTTTTGCCTGCACTGAAAGCCATACTAAAATTTAACCAAATGGCCTACGCTGCACTCTATTCTCTCCCTTCAATGAGTCTCTACATTTATACTGAATCTGGATAGTCTCTAAGTGTGCATGGGTGTGTTTAAGAGCGAACTACATCTAGGAAAGCTCAGGCTCTGAGATTAAGAGCAGTACAGAAAGGCAAAGCCCCCTCTGTTGAGCACACCACTTCATGTGCCCAGGAAGACGCAAGCTCAGCCCTCCACACGCACACCCCCACATACGGTCCCAAGTACAGAGATCCGGTGTCGTGTGAAGACACCGAGAACACACAATGTCACAGATCCAGTCACGCTGCTTGCAAATACTACAGTTAGTTGTACAAAGAGCAAAAAGACACAGTTCAAACAGAACTTACCTGCTTGTTCAAGGAGAGCTTGGCAAGCTAAGTGGTGAGCATGCCATAGTTTATTTTCGAAAGTGCTCCTGAATACAGCTTTCTTAAGTGGATCTTATTCAAGTAAGTGATCTAGCCCAGGTAAAGAGCCCCCGAAAATCAAGCAGCAAATCAATGTCTCTTTGACTCTTAAACTTAAAATTAGTACTTTAAAAAAGTAAGTGTGGGGAAGAGATCCCTCTAGAAGGAAATGCTCTAAAACCATTTCAGTGGCTTTCAGAGGGTGGAGCAACAGAGTATTGGGAGGAAAAAAACTAGAACTCAGCATTGGCAACAGCACGACTATCTCCAGCATAAGAGCCTGTTTATAGGCACAGAGCCCTCTTTTCAAATGGGAAAAATGTCAGCAGTATAAGTTAAGATTTTCACTAAGAATCTTAAAAATGTTAATCATTTTTCAGCTATACACAACAAAGTCTGAAGTTCAATCAGATTCAGAAATAATAAGGTATGTCAGTATGAAAATAATCTCAACTTAAAACAAGCCAAGAAATAATATTTACTAGACCTCAAATCAAGTATTTTATAAAATTGGATAGTGTTAGATGTTACCAAATTGAAATTGTCTGACTGGAGCCTAGAGTTCAACCTTTATGGGGTCAAACAACCTAAATCCCTGGTTGGCACCTAATACTCCCTTTACCTTGGTGTTGTGTACACTCTATAATCCCTCCCCTTGAGTGTGGGTGAGCCTGACCCAATCAGGTGAATGTATTTATTTGTTTATTTTTAAACACAGGGCCTGAACTCATCACCCTGACATCAATACCTGAACCGAGATTAAGAGACACTTAACCGACTTAGCCACTGAGTCGCCCCCAGATGACTGCTTTTAAAAGAGGTTCTTGAGGTCAATCAGGAAAAATCAGAAAAAGTTGAAACTTCAGTAGATATATCTGTATTTTTGGTCAAAAATTTTAACTTTTAAATGTTATAGAAATGGAATCATACAGTATGTAAATTTCTAAGATCCCTGCCCCCAACTCAGCAAAATTTTCTTGGGATTCATCCAAATTGTTGTATCAATAGTTTGTTTCTTCTTATTGCTGAGTGTTACTCCATGATATAAAATAAATAAATAAAATCTTCAAAACTGTGGCCAGTTTGCAGACTGCTGGGGGTCAGTGCTGCAGGACTGTTCCCAGGCTGCAGAGACTCTTCCCCGTTGTCTGCCCAGCTCGGCTCCACAATGCCAGTGGACCTCAGCAAGTGGTCCGGGCCTTTGAGCCTGCAGGAAGTGGACGAGCGGCTGCAGCACGCGCTGCAGGTCAAATACATCAGGACAGAGGTCGACAAGCTGGTCAAAGTGCTGACACCCACCCAAATTAAGAACCGGCCTGCCAGTATTGTGTGGGATGGCCTTGTTCCAGGTAAACTCTACACCTTGGTCCTGACAGATCTGGATGCTCTCAGCAGGAAGGACCCCAAATACAGGGAATGGCACCATTTTCTGGTGGTCAACATGAAGGGCAACGACATCAGCAGTGGCAGAGTCCTCTCCAATTATGTCAGCTCTGGGCCTCCAGATAGATCTGACACAGGCCTTCACCACTATGTCTGGCTGGTTTATGAACAGAATGGGCCACTGAAGTGTGACGAGCCCATCTTCAGCAACCGATCTGGAGACCCCTGGGGCAAATGCAAAGTGGCATCTTTCCACAAGAAGTACGAGCTTGGGCCACCGGTGGCTGGTACGTGTTACCAGGCGGAATGGGATGACTATGTGCCCAAACTCTATGAGCAGCTGTCTGGGAAGTAGGGGAATGCTAGGAGACAGAAACCGTCCTGGAAGTCTCAACCAGTGTTCTCCAGTTCAGTGATGCATGTAGATTTCTCAGGTGAGGCCTGAGCAATCAGATAATGGTTTAGAGTGACTTTTCCTTCTGCCGGTCCTTTATAATTCTAGAGGGTCACGCCCCCGTTTATGTTTTGATCACATTTGAACGCTATTTTGGGGGATATTTTGGTACTGTGTTGGGGTCATCAATTCTTTTTTTTTTTTTAATATTTTATTTATTTA